ACCAGAATATTCCTTAACTTTCGATTTAAATGCATTGAATAAATTACCGTCACTTTCCTCTTCCCGACCGCTAAATATACACACATTTAAAGCGAGACACAGAAAAAATCACATTTTCTTTCAATCTATGTCTACTATATTTGACGATCAAATTGCAAATCATTAAAATGTCACACCTATTAACTGACATCAATGTTCTCTCTCCCCCCCTCTGAATTGACACAGGTAAAGCGGTGTGCGAGTTCCCTGGTGAATTGGCCAACGGGCACATCGAGCCCACCAAATTTCACTACAACATCGACGAGACAGTGACAGTGATGTGTAATCATAATTATAGACTATTGGGTTCGCCGAAACTGAAGTGCAACGCCAATGGCCACTGGTCTAGTCCTAAGCCCCACTGTCGGCCCTTTTACTTCTGACACCACAACACCCACTAACGCACCCACACCTGTCCCCTCCCACCACACATATACCCGACCCCTCATCCCTGTCCGCCCGCAGTCCCGGCCCCGCAGACGCATCACTTCAACACATGTAAGCTATGGACTCATTGTACGGACAAATTGGTTGAACACAACAAGTATTGCCAATAAGTTATTGGCTTTGGCTGAGAGAGGGATAACACTTTGATAACGTGTTTTATGTCCATATATTTCTCTCATCGTTGGGTTTTGTGTTTTATTTTAATTGCAAATATATTTTCTGATTGTTCTGTTTGTTTGACTGATGTGTTTCTGGTCGGCCGCCAGTCTTGTTATCAATGGTTTGCTATTTATTTGTTATATAAAATCTGAAACACAAACAAATAAAACACAAATAAAAACGTATGAAATCTCAAAGAATTACATGTAAATTGAGAGAAAACAACAAATAATTTTTATAAATATTATTAAAAAACTAAACGGAATATTAGGAATATTCTGTCAAATGAATGAACGAGTGCTAAACATATGGCTTTTATTTATAATAATGATAAAAATGTGTTTATAATTTGCTTTTCTATCGTTTTGTAAGACAGGGCTGACGCACAACAACACATGAGGTAACTTGTCTTAAAAATCTGTTTATAAAGAATATATAACAAGAATATTCAAATACAAACACAGAATATTCTTATACCTAAATCAAACAGTTATGTAAAATAGTTATAAAAACAAAAACCATTTGGATTTTCTTTAACATTAATATTATTTATACACAATTTATTTAAATACATATTTGAATATAAATAACAAATTGTATATTTATTGTTGTTTTGGATTATAATTAGTGAACATTGATTTCAAACAAAATCAACAAATAATGTTATCGTTAAATATATTTAAAAACTATTTGTAATAAATTTGAAAAAATCAAATAAAATTTATCATTACTTCTAAACAAACAGTGAAAACTGAGTGCAATTTTTACGATACATTTAATTTTAATTTAGTTCCCATTATTAACAGCTAATCAATCGATAGCTTGTCCATCAAAATGAATGGAAAAAGTAACAAAAAAGTCCTCACTTTTAGCAAAACGTAATAATTATTTTCGATATAATAAATGTTAGGAAAGTTTTTTGAGCGGAAAGTTTTCAATGGGCTTAACATTAATGTACATTAAATCTGAAAACAAACTTAAAGTCTTAAAAGTAAAGTAAAGTCACATTTCCTGACCTTTTCTTTCCGTTTGGGAGACAAGAAATAGACACTGAATTCGTGACCTCTTGTCGTCGAGATTGTGATAAAAAACGATTGATTTTCACAAATCAGTTGTATTTTCCACATCTATGTCGAAACGCACAATCATTTGTTTGGCATATAATGACAGATTGATTCTCTCTTTCTCTCTCTCTCTCTCTCTCATTCTCTCTCTCTCTCTCTCTCTCTTCTTTCTTTCTTTCTTTTTTTCTCAACAAAAAATTGTTTATCCCTTTGATTACATATACAAAAAAATTTTATTTAAATGTATATTTGTATATAAAAATAAAATGTCAATTCAATATCCATTGTATTGATGATCTTTCAGCCATATATAAGGCACTGGATTATTCTCGTATTCAATTATTCTTGTATATCAAGAAATGGTCGACTCTTTCCTCTTCTTCTGCCTATTCTTTATATCGCATACAATATTAATGATTAAATCAAATGAATGGCTAAACACATCATTCGACAGCTTCCTCGCCTTCTATTAGGTCATAGAGTCGTTGCGAAGACACTATATATCTGGCCGTCACTGAAAACAGTTCATCAATTATTATTGTCTCCCAAAAATCTCGAGCAGAATATTCTGTTCCCTTCCTATTCATCCATTCTTTACAAACATTTGTTTGGGTTATTATTTTTCTCAAAAAATATACAGTATTTTCCTATTATTATATTTTAGAGACGTATAGATTAAATGCCTTTTAAACAATCTATCATTTGTTTGTAGTTTCGCCGTAAATACAAGGAATATATTGCTGTCAAATGAGATAAATTATCATAAATTTGAATTATTGTTTTAATACTAAACGACATAATAGTATTGCTAGCACTAAAAATGTATAATTGAATTTATTTTTTAAGTTTATAATGTTTTTGATATGAAAATAGCATTTATATATGAAAGTTAAATATTAAATTTTTGAAAAGTTTTTGCAACAATTTTTATTATCAATAAAATCAAATACTTGAGTGAATTGCACATCAATTATATTCCCAATAACTGGTGAGTTGTGTCTCCTCTAGCCATAAGGAATGCCATCAAAGAATCCAATGAAAAACATATGAAATATATAATAATTGTGTTACGAATGTTCGTTAATGTATTTCAAAGCCTTTTTTAAAAATGTATCTAAAATAAGATTAATTCATATACTGTTACGCGAAATGTCATTCAAACTTAACATTTTTGCCGGTATTTCATTTCGACAGATATTTCTGTGTAGAAATAGTTGCCCAAAAAGTTTTTCAATTGAATTAAGCCGTGAATTGGTTTATATTCATCTCAAATAATGGCATTAAATAAACATTTACTATATTTTTTGGTAAATCATAAACAATACTATACTCACGATCCAAATGCAAATTAATGTCAATACATGCATACAATACAACTGTTTTTAAATTGAATTCATATGTGATTTAAATATAAATTTGTAAATTAAATAATGAAATTTATTCAACATTTATTGCCATAAATGAATGACTAAATCCATGCATTCCTATAAATGTTTATCCATTTTTGCCAATATTTTGTGAATTAAACAAATATTTTTCCATAGAATCCAAAGAAAATATTAACGAAAAAATAATATTCATATATTCAATGGAAAAGTGGAAATTCCATATTAATTGCAGTAAAAAATTAATAAATTTTGATTTATTGAAAACATTATAAATTATTAATATGAGAGAACCAATTGGGGATTTGAGATGACATTTATTAAAACAAATCTAATATTTATTCACACAATTATGTTATGATTTTTAAATATAAATAAAATTTTAAACTAATCACAAATTACAATATAAATTATGAAAATACAGTGAAAAACTATTTATTCGTCATATAATATGAATGAATTGTTAAAAAACATTTGGCATTACATACGGATTAATGGATATTTAAAAACTACAATTATCTATACATACAGTGAATATATAAAAAGCTTACAATTCATTAAAACATATATTTTGCGTATTTATTAAATTAAAATATTATTAATTATAAGAAAATCAATGCTTCGACAGCTTCTCCAGAACCTAAGAGTGAGAGACAAACATAGATTGAAAGAAAATGTGATTTTTTCTGTGTCTCGCTTTAAATGTGTGTATATTTAGCGGTCGGGAAGAGGAAAGTGACGGTAATTTATTCAATGCATTTAAATCGAAAGTTAAGGAATATTCTGGTCCTCACATACGATAGGATCGGAAATACATTTCACAAATTGATTTTTCCCTTTTATATCTGGTATTTCTTTCCATCTCGTTATGGAAAGCCATTAAAATTCATTACTTGTTAAATAACAAATTTTCAACACATTTTCTAATAAATATATATCAAACTGTGTGTAAAAATCAATAGTGAAAACGTCGTAAAAAGTTTTGTAATATTTATAACGGGTATTAGTCTTAATGTGACGACTATTAGTGCTCTGCTTTCAACACATTATTAAATATTGTCCTTAAAATCAATTTGATTTTAAAATTGTGTCGAGTTTTACAAATGTAAATTTATGTGATGGAGATTTTAATGACATTATAATCATTCATTATTTTGCATTACAATGTATTACATCAACTCATATAACAAAGAGTGAGTGGAAATATAAAATTTATGTTTAAAACTTTGTTTTAAAATTGATGTTTAAATAATTACAAGTATTAAATAATGCTATAAAACATGGACTCTTGGGCATTGATATAACACGTATTATTTTATATTAAAATTTATATTCACATCAAATATAATATTATATAATTTTATTTTGATTTTTATAAATTTTTGCAAAATAATTTCCATAGAATAGCACTCATTAGTGTATTTCTATTTGAATTCTCCATAGATTTTAGTTAACATTGAATTTTAAAACAGAAAAATCAAATTTTGCACAAAATTCTTCTAAATTTTAAATAATTTTATAATAAAATATTTAGAATTTTTAAAAATATAATCAAAAAATTCTATTTAATGAAAACTTTGGAAAATTCTTGGCATTCATTAAATGGTATTTTGTTTTTTTGGGCGCAAATATTTCACTATAAGCTATAAAGTGATAATATTTAGTGTATGTATGAAATAATTGAACAACTATTCTGTGCTTTATCTCTGTTTTTATAAATCAGATCAATATTAAGCATTATATACAGTGTTTTATATGAAAACGTCAGACAAATAGTAATCACAAACATAAACGAATGAATAGTTAGTTTGCATTCGGATTAATAGGGTTTTTGTTACCAAAAAATATATAATAAATATGTGTTCAGACGTTATATTAGTCCCATATTTAGCCGATATTGCAAATAATAAATATATTAATATAATATCAGAAATAAAATTGTTTTGGTATTTCATAAAATGACATTTAATGCCCGATTGATATTTATATAATCGCCATAAACTGAAAACATATTAATGATTCAGTATTATTTCAATTTAAGATAAGTATTTCATTTTCTATTGGGTTTTAATATTGATTGCATGGATGAAAACTCACAGAATATTCTGCATTAAAATGTCATTAAATATGTATTAAACAATAAAATAAAAAATAAATAAAATATAGACAAAGTTAGAATAAAAATAATAGACAAAAATGCATACATATGGGTGGCGGTGATGACCATGTTCCGTTGTCCATACATATGGCTAGTGGTTCACCCATTATCACAAACCCACTATTGCACGCGTACTGTACGTAATCTCCGGCCAAATAGTGTGTATTGTCCAGTAATCGACCGTTTTGTGGGGCAATCGGCGGCTCACAACTGATGGCTATTTAAAATGCAAACAATTTATTTAAAACACTAACAAAATTACAATATATTTTAGAATATAACTTATTTTTAGTGTATTTTCTCGATAATATATTTTTGGAAAGTATTTTATATTTTACGAAATAAAGCAAAACATTAAAAAAGCTCTCATAAAAAAGTCTTGTGATATTTTAAATCAAATTTTGATGTTTGCCCTTTGAAAACAAGGGAATCGGTTGATGGGATGAATGAATTGAATTGTGAATTATTTTTATAAATAATACTGTATATAAATATTACATGTAATGCAAGGAAAGAATGGTCTCTAATATATAGCGTATTTTGGATTTATTGCTCCCAAATTCAGCTCAAGTTTCTGGTCATCAAAAGGAAAGGCAAAAATATGGGGAAAACGTATAAAAACTAAAAGTAAAATAAGAAGAGAAAAAAGTTTTGGCGAACACTCGCTGTGAATGTGAAAACTGCACAAATAATTATGATTTCAAATCAAATGGTTTATTGTTTGGCAAATACAGTGTTCGCCGGGCATAGAGTTTGTGTGCATTTCCTAACGAAAAAAGCACTCAAAACGGATTAAATTCAAGTGACAAACATTTTTGCCCTGACTTTTAATGCATTCAATACATTAGGCATTGAATGAGATCACACTCTCTCATACTCTCACTCCCGGTGCCAAACCTAATATACACACACAATATGATCACTGACTTTCATTTGTGTAAATATTATATATTTATATAAATTTATAGCGATTTATACAGTGATTTGTGCCGTCAATCCTCTCGACTCTCAATTGCAATATTTCCATAATATATTACTTTTACTCAAAATATTTGCATTCAATTGGTTTGATATCTCAAACAAAAAGAAAATTTGTTTTCAAAATCAATAATAATATAAATAATATAAAAAGAAGAAGTTCTCGATATAAATGACCGGAAAACCCAATTTATATAAAATTAAAATTAATGGGAAATTTACAAAATAAATCTCATATAATAGAAAAAACGAAAATAAATATTTTTATATTAAAATTTGTGAACAAGAATTTGTTGAACCAAATCTTCAAAACATAAATTCATAGACTTTTAGCTTAAAATATAACTCAAGATTAGAACAAAGAGAGAGAGAGAGAGAGAGAGAGAGATATTTTAATTCACATATCCATTGAGTTTAATTAAAACAAATGCAAAATGTGTTGACTTTTTTAATTAGATTAAAGCATTTAAATTGAGAGTATGAGAGAGTGAGAGAGAGAGAGAGAGAGAGATAGAGAGAGAGAGAGACCTAAAAGGCTTTTATAGCATATGTAATAAAATATATTTTCAAAGCAAATGGCATTTTAATGTATAATTAAATGCAGCAAAAAATCGTTTTATAGTCTAAGAAATATATGAATAAAAAGAAAGAATACGCAAAATATTCACCGACAGTGAAATATTTTAATCTCCTTTATTTACTTTATATTTCAACCATTCTCTCTCTCTCTCTCTCTCTCTCTCTCTCTCTAACTTCTAATATGTATACAAAATAAAATTATAATTTGTTTGATGTTTTTTCAGTCACTTAAAGAATGCAATACAGACTCGAAATGAATACAAAAAAGTTTATTTATGGGATATTATCTATGGGTAGAAAAACAGTGGCACTCATTGTTCGCATGGGAATCAATGGTACCCAAAAAGATAGCACTGGTATGACAAACATGTACTCATATATACGGCACACAATAGCAAAGACAAAATGTGGGCAAAACGGGAGCGACGAGTAGTGATAAAGTATAAGCAAAGCATAAGACAAAACAAAAAAATTAATGTTTGTATGAAATTATGTGATGAAAATTCACTGCTTATGTAAGAGATTTCTGTCGCAAAAAAATAAAGAGTAAAAATCTGTTCGCAATTTATATATAAAATATTTTTGTCCATTTTTTTGTACAAAATTCTCACAAATAGTAACGATAGAAAAATCAATATTATTTTCTTATATTAAATTTTTATCTAAATTCAGGTAAACTCGAAGTAAAGTACAACAAAAAATGTGTTTTTTATATATAACAGAATATTCTTGAGAGAGAGAGAGAGAGAAAGAGAGAGAGAGAGAGAGAGAGAAAGAGAGAGAGAGAGAGAGAGAGAGAATTCGCATATTTTTCCTATTATTACTTTATTTGTTTCAAAATTAAATTTCTAACATATATTATGCAAAATGTGATGTCTTTGCATAAAAATAATACAAATTTCGTGACTTTCACTGAATATTGGTCTCAAAAGATCCGAAAGAAACAAAACATAATTCTTAAAAATCGTTTCAACGGTTTTTATAGATTTTCTATTTTTCAGAAGATTGAGATTTTATTCATTTTTGATTACAAAAATATATCAAAATATATATTATTATTGTATAAAATAAATGAATTCTTTGAATGAGTACTTGAAAGGAGAGATGAGAGGCCGACGACTATAGACACAAAATCTCAAAATGAATTTATGAAAAGAAATATAAAAATATTGGATATAATGAATGAAAGGAATCGTCAAATAAAATAGTATAAGAGTTTAAGTGAACGAAAAGTTAGAAAAACAAATAAAAGTATGACTTGAATAAGTGATATGTAAGGAGAGAAAAGTGCAATCAGTGGACGAGAGAGAGAGAGAGAGAGAGAGAGAGAGAGAAAGTTTTAAAAAATTGTTGTTCAATCCTGACATCAACTTATAATGGATTAAAATTGATAATACAATTTCTCATTGCTCTCAGAATTTCAACGATAATTGTAAATAACATTAATGTTTACTTTATATAAAATCAAATGTTTTATTATAATTAAAATTATTGAATGATTTGAAGCAAGAATTTCAAAATTAAAATATTTTTTTCAAACAAATTCCTTAATTGTAAAAGTTTTCAATGACTTGTCCTTCTGTTCATTGATTTTAATTTAAATATAATTTAAACTCAATTTGTCTTTCATTTGCACACATGAAAGAAAAGAAAAAATGAGAAAAAAAAGTTTTGCAAATTCTTAATGAAATAAATTCTTAAATAAAACGTTAAGATTGAATATAATTTCAATTTTTTCGACATTTAATTTGGTTTATTTCTTCTCCACATCTCATTCACATTCAAATAGGAAATTAACTTTTAATACATATAAGTTATACAGTATTTGCCATTTGTTTGAAATAATATGCAAATGAGTTCTGAATTTTTGATTTAATTGATTAGTTGTGTTGAGAAAGAAGTCAAACAAATGTATGGCAAATACATATATAGACCGCAAGAATATAATCAAAAACCGGGAATAAGATGTAGAGAAATATGACACCAAAAATTATTTGCATATATATTAATAAAATATAAGGTATTATATTATTTGACGTTTAATATCTTACATATACTTTGCCTTTATTTTACATTTAGTACAGAATTTTACGATAAGGAGAGAGAGAGAGAGAGAGAGTTAAAAAAATGTTGTTCAATCCTGACATTAACTTATCATGGATTAAAATTGATAATACAATTTCTCATTGCTCTCAGAATTTCAACAATAATTGTAAATAACATTAATGTTTACTTTATATAAAATCAAATGCTTTATTATAATTAAAATTATTGAATGATTTGAAGCAAGAATTTCAAAATTAAAATCTTGTTTTCAAACAAATTCCTTAATTGTAAAAGTTTTCAATGACTTGTCCTTCAGTTCATTGATTTTAATTTAAATATAATTTAAACTCAATTTGTCTTTCATTTGCACACATGAAAGAGAAGAAAAGGAAAAATGAGAAAAAAAGTTTTGCAAATTCTTAATGAAATAAATTCTTAAATAAAACGTTAAGATTGAATATAATTTCAATTTTTTCGACATTTAATTTGGTTTATTTCTTCTCCACATCTCATTCACATTCAAATAGGAAATTAACTTTTAATACATATAAGTTATACAGTATTTGCCATTTGTAGAGAGAGAGAGAGAGAGAGAGAGAGAGAGAGAGTTAATCTATAATTGATTTCGTTTTTTAGACAGAATTTTATTAAACGAAAAATACTTTTATATCAAAAAACATAGAAAAATTGAATCTAAAATAAAAACAATAAATTTGAGGACAAATATGTGAACAATAATAATATGAGAAAAATATTTGCCGGCTTAGAGTGTGAGACATGGATTGAATTTATTTGAAACAAAAAAGTGATTTCAATGTAATGATTGGCAATAAAATACAAGATAAACACATCGCTAGGAATACGACAAAATAGGCTGGATTTGAACAAAAAACACATAATATGGGGATATATTGATATATAACCAATATTATAACCCCATAATAAGAGCAACAATAATAATAATGGTTACAAAGTAATATAAATGGCAAATAAAAAAAACTAAATGACAATTTGTGTGTTTGAAAGTGTGGTCGCAATACCTTCACAATGGGGTATATCCTGACTCCACGTCCTATTCTTAAGACATGTGACAAATTGGGCTCCAATTAGTTTGTATCCAGTGGTGCACGAAAACAGGGCACTACTCCCGTACGTACGGTTGTGGTCACTCACGCGCACGTATAGGTCTTCGTCGGTGTTCAGCGCCGGACACTCTATCACTGGTGAGAGGGAGGGGAGAGAGACAGAGAGGATAAGTACATGTTTTAATCATTCATTATAATAGATGTTCACTATTTATCATAACGATGTCTACAGTTATTGTTAATATAGAGATTATGTGGTGGCGTAGAGCACAGCACAGGAAGCAGTGTATCCCACGATATAAACGATGTGCGAGAGAGAGAGAGAGCGAGAGAGAGAGAGAGAGAGAGAGAGAGAGAGACTATTGCAAAGAATATTGTGTGGAATGAATGGAATGAATGAAAAGTGTGTCCTAAAGATAGTGAGAAAGTTCTTCCTTAAGATATTCCGTATAATAGAAGAAGCGGTCATTCAATGATGTGTTGAATATATGTTTTTTATATCTCATTTTTCTCGTATAACTAACAGTTATGTCTATTCAATATGAAAATCATTAAGTTATTCAAAATCTAAATCATATTTGCGCTCTCAATGGTATAATGAAATAATTATATCTATATTTATATGTGTATAGAAAATATGCAAAATATTTAAACAGCATTTTTGTTGTATCGATAAAATATTATATCAATTAAATAAATATATTAAACACTAAACTTTAATTAAAAGCCAATAAAATTCGCGCTTAATTAAAAAACAATTGGATTGACATTTGGACGCAATAGTAATTATGTTTACAACTCAGACCATTCAATATAGATGTATATATCGGTTGCACAACATTTATATCATCATTATTTAGTCTCAGTGTTCAGTACAGCAAATTTTATCAGTAGATAACTAGCGAATGGATAAATTGCGAGCACCTGTACCTTCATTATAACAGACAGCTTGAGAGAGAGAGAGAGAGAGAGAGAGAGAGAGAGACTACACAACCAATTATATCTGCCATTCCTTGTATTCATTACTCTGTGTATTGGATTTGAGTTCACTGTCTGTCGGCTAAAAAGAAAACTGTTGTTACGATATATACCGTACTGTTTATTAACCGTATTATTATAAGGGGCTGTGATTTTCGTGTACACAATATATTGTAAGAATTGTTTGATTCCTCACTTATTACATGATTATAAACATAAAGAATATCTCAACTCTACTGTAATTACATCGTTAATAAATGTGATGACAATTGGATTTAATGTTGGCTTCATTTCAAGATATTAAGCAATTAATTTTAGATAAATGTATTAAAAACCAAGAATATGTGTAAATATTTATAAGTATTTTATAGAATAAATTATTAAAAATGTATAGATGTTGTAACATGGTAACATGGTTTGTTTGTATCTACATAACCATCATCACACATGTATTAGGACAGGTGTGTGCGGAGCCATAATAGACAAATTGATGGACAAGTCTTTGGCTAACATTTACTGACCGTGTTTTGAGAGAAACAATGTTTTTGGTTATAGTTTTTGGAGCTGAATAAAAATCGATGAGCATTTCAGATGCTATTCGCATAGAAATAGTGTAAATATATAAATAGTGTTTTGAATAAAGAAATTTAATAAAAAGGAAGAAAAAAACTTTTGTCGAAAATTTTCTTCTACTTTAAAAATAAGAATTCTTTATTTTTGTGAAGAAAGTGGTGTTCAATAGGTTTTGTGATCAGATTTTTGCGCGAATTTATCGAAAGTAGAGTTTTCTCTCTTTCCTGAAAATAACGATTTATTTTATTTTTTGTCCGAAAAATACGGAAAAGAAAGAGAAATTTTTATATAACAAGAAAGAAAAGGAGTGGAAAATACTGAATGAGAATCTGATTGAAAACACATAACCGTATATAAGAGGGAATGGGAGAGAAAAACGTATGAATTATTGTCCAAAATGTTGTTAACATTTTTGGGAAATTTTGTCAAAATTTATTAATAAAAAAATATAGCGAAAGAATAGACGAAGGAATACATTGGGAACGAAATTCCCTATAAATTGTTTTTTTACATGTGAGCCAAACATAAATATTTTTGGGCCAAAATTTATTGACTTCCACTCCATTTAACTATACTTTCATACAAATCGTGTGCTCTATCTCTAAGATATCTTTCAATTTTATTATCTAAAATATATTCTCCCTTTTAATGAGAGTAGATATGTATTTAAAAGTCTAAACAACACGTTAAAAACGTCTATCTTTTCTGACAATTATTTATGGAGAGAGAGAGAGAGAGGGAGGGAGAGAGAGAGAAACTAAAAGATATCAATTATTGGTTAGAAAATATATTTGCCTCAAACAACGAGAAGAATAATTCAAACGAATAAATAATTCAAAAGTTTTATCTCTCGTCTATTTCTCTTGTCTTTTAGTATGGCTTTAATGGTCTCTTCAGTTTGGGTTTTGAAACAAAGAGCTATAATAATAATAATAACAATCATTTGAGATAATCGTAAGTCATGTGCTCTTCAATTGTCTTCTCAACTCTTTTTCCAATTCTCTATAGTTTTTATTTATAACAACAGAAATGTTGCCCTTTTTTGCCGGTCATAGGAATTGGATAAATAAATAATGGTTGTCTTCAATCGGGGTTTTATGGGCTTTACTGAGCTTTTCAATGGAGTTTTGTTCAACAAAACAAAGAAATTGAATCAAAATCCTGAGCTATGTTTCCATAAAACATGAAATAATCTCATAAATAAAAGCTTTTATATAACAATATGTTTGTTTTAAATCTCAATTATATTTATATAAAGCCAAACACTTTTACAATTGGATAAAATATTTGCTTAAAATATGGATTTTACTAAAATTATATAAAATATATTTACGGACAATATCAAAGCAATTGTGAAATAACTAATTAATAATTTTTATATTCAATCTTCAGATATTATTATATATATTGACAATTAATTGTATCACAAAAATCACTTCAATATAGACTCGTGAGAGAAGAGAAATCCTAAACATTGAATAGCATTACTGATCAATAGTTTTGGCAACAAATAGACGAAAACGCAAAAATCAATTCAAAGAGTACTCTCTATTTGTTTATTGAATGGCAAAAGTTTTGGCAAATAATTAATATATTGATGGAGAGAATGGGTGTGAATATAACGTATTGATGAGATGTGTATACCTTTGCATTTGGGGGGACTGTCAGACCAGAGGCCGTTTGAAAGGCATGTTATCTCTTGAGTGCCGGAGAGATAGTAGCCCTCAACGCAGGAGAAGCGGGACCTGTCGTGCATACGGTTGCCCTCAACAGACATCACTCGGTTGGCGTCAAACGAATCGATGACCGGACACTCGACATCTGTGCCAACCATCACATCAATACGTTATATTCACACCCATTCTCTCCACCAATACATTAATTATTTGCCAAAACTTTTGCCATTCAATGAACAAAT